AGTTTAATTTCATAAAATAACCTGCCAATATATTTTTAACTTTCTATTATATTCACCTTCCGGGGTTTAGATAGCTTAGTATGCAGATTGCATTCTCAAAATGTTGGTCTTAACCCCAAGTAAGTAGTTGTCTTCCAAATAATTCCAATTTTCTTGCCTATCCATTTCCAAATCTTTGCGGACTTCACAGTTAATATTAAAATAGCCTTTTCTGCTCTTAAATTCACTTCAGTCTGCCACATATAAATATAAAATGCTTTCTGCTTCTTACAGGTTTTGTCTGACAGCTGTATACCTCTTTATTATTCAGTACTTCAACAAAATTGGTGGAAAGATATCAGTGAAGCTCGTAAAATATGAGAACAACAAAAACATAGAACGGAGAGCTGACAGTTGGGTTTACAAGGTGGTTATGAGAAGTTTTGTTTCTCTCTCATTTGGGTCCAGACTTTTAGCCCCTAATTGAGAATTTGTCGTTTTGTGCAGGTCTTTGGCCTTTACTTCATGCAATCCTACATTGGAATCTTCTATCATGCTTTATTGCACCGCAACATAATGACACTTCGCCAAGTTCTCATTCAACGTCTAATTATATCAGAGGTAGATGGGATTGTTTCTGATTTTTTTCATATATGCCATCTAAATCTTTTACTAATATATGGTTACTGTTCACAGGTGCTAGAGAATATGTTGGAGAACTCTCTACCATACTTGAAATACAGCTTAAAGAAATATAGAGCTGTGGGGTAAGGCATTTCCTTCATTTCGGCTGGTCTGCACAGGATTTAATTGAAAAGCTAATGTACTCTGGTTTATTATTTGTTTTTTTACTTTATGGTCTATCTGATATATATCTCTTAATGTGAAGAAACAAGAGAAAACGTGAGAAAGGAACATCCTCGGAAAAGACCCAATACATGTCTAGAGTAGAAAAAGAGTACCTTAAACCTGATTATTCTGCTAGTATTGGAGAGGAGCTTGAAGACGGACTTTTCGATGGTAATCCATGCTTCATATTCTTTTTAAAGATCCTACACGAATTTTAATTTATTGAACACCTTTAATAACATGTCCCTGTTTGAATTATTACAACTGCTCAATTGTTTTAACATACCTGTAGCTAATTGGAACTCTTAATAATTGCAGATTTTTTGGAATTGGCATTGCAATTTGGCATGATCATGATGTTTGCTTGTGCATTTCCTCTTGGTTTTGCCTTTGCTACTTTGGTACATAATACACATGGCCCCTCCCTCTTTTAATATCGTTTACTATTTCTTTTGTTTTAATGAGAGCAATACTGAGCCAAATTCAATTTTGCTTTTGTAGAACAATATAACAGAGATAAGAACAGATGCACTGAAATTGCTTGCCATGTTAAGAAGGCCCATTCCACGTCCTGATGCAACAATTGGAGCTTGGCTTAACATATTTCAGGTATGTGCTGCCCTTTCCTTTAGCTGAACCCAATTATACAAACTCTTGCTTGCTAACAGCTTGTTCTTGCAATGGCTTAATCTCTTGGAATTCAGTTTCTGATTGTCATGTCAATATGTACGAACTGCATTCTCCTTGTATGCCTATATGATCATGAGGGGAAATGGAAAATATCGCCTGGAATTGCTGCAATTCTCATCATGGAACATGTACTTCTGCTCTTAAAATTTTTGTTCTCACGCATTGTTCCAGAGGTATGACTTCTAGTAGCTTTATCAATCTCAGAGAATACATTTACCATTGTAACTAACGAGCGTTGCTCATTTCCCACATCTTGAATAGGAGCCAGCGTGGATAAAAGCTAATAGGATGAAGAACGCAACTCATGTACATGATATGTGCTCCAGACAGCTTTTAAGGAGCATTTCTGGTGAAAAGATGCATGAATTAAAAAAAGATGAATAGTGACATGTTGAAGGACTTAAAGAGTGACAAGTTCCTCTTATCCACACTACAGTCTCGCCTTCATTCCTCAAAGCAAAATTTGAAGGTAGATGTCGGAGCATATACGAAGACTTTGAGCTGTGTAAAACTTTGCAAAGAGTGAGTTTCATCTTAGTGAACCCTTAGGTGCCAGTGTGCTTGTTTGCTAGCCAGTGTAAAGTGCAGTTTTCTTCCTTGAAAGTAAATAAGTTTTGTATTTGATTCAGCAGCTAGATTAGGTACCATTTCCTAGTATTCGTTAATAATGTTCGTAATCACCTCCATGGGTATTCATGCTCAGTGATACTAGAACAGCATACCTAATAAAATACCATAGGTAAGCTGGGGAGGGTGGAGGGTAGAGTGTATTCAGACTTTACCATATGGATCCGGAGACAAAATTAGTCAAAAATAAGAAAAGACAACAAACAGAAGAAATAAAAACAACCTCTCCCAACGCATGCCTGGAGAATATAATCAGAAATAGAAAAAAAGAAAAATAAGAAAAAGATGCTACAGAATTGAGTCCGTGTTTGTATTGAGCAAATTTTGTACAGTTAAATAACTAATCACAACTATCAAACTCAAAACAGAACTGAGTTCATGATTGTATGTAGCAGTCCGTTCTTTGTTTCTGCAGGATGTATGACACAGCTGTTTTCTTTTACCATTGACGTGCATGCACTTCTATTTTCTCAAACAGTTCTCTGCCGATTTGCTTAAAGAGATGTTGATATCTCACTGTTGAATCAACGACGAGAGCTCCCAAAACGGTCACTGACTTGACGGGCATAAGAGACCACGCTTTTAGCCCATTTCTTGATTTCTTCCTTGAACTTCTTAGAATCCAGATGTTTCAGCGACTTCATTCCAGGATCAATTGAGATTTCCATGAAGGAGAAGCAGCTGTTGAACCGTCGACGCTTTGCTGCAGCTTCATTGCTCTTCATAATTTGCTTCCCTTTGCTGCATGAAGCAGCTGCTTCTATGGGAACGGAATCCTTTTCCATCAACTGACCCCCAGAATGAAGATGTTTGTTTTTTAATTGAGGGGTTACTCTGTTTTATTTATACCAAAGAGAAATGAAACCAGAGGTTTCCAAGCGTATGTAGCAAGGAACAGTAGTCTACAATAGACTTTTCAAAATATTCTGCAGGGGATTTTGCTACTTGTCAATTATTTAGTTCCGTTAAAGCGTGTTAAATTGGTGTTCATTATTCTCAAGTGGAAAGCCATAAATAACTAAGCTTCTTGTATTCTTTTTTTTTCCTCTTCTTCTTTATACGAGGAATAGTTATTACCAACCTTGAATTGACGGAACTCTATTAACTAATACCAAGTTCTCTGCACGTTCGGTAGGAAACTTTCAACTTTCTTCCGATAACCTACCAATCATGTGAGGAAATGACATAAAACCACAGGACCACTAACTCTCAGTTCATGAAGATAATTTTTAGCTTCAGCCAACGAAAATGCAAGAGAATCTGTGTTAATAGATTCAATAAATTCTAATTTCATGATCTATAAGCTAAAAAGAAATATTAATATCACCAGTACATTTCTATTTGAATATTCCCTCAGTCCCATTTTATGTTACGAGGTTTTTGACTTGGAATATAAAAAATAAGAAAAAGTTCTGTGGTCTAAAATTGAATGATAAAAGATTTGTATCACTATAAATTGTTTCATCGAGAGTAAAATAGGCATTTTAAAGATAAATTATTATTTAATATAAAAATTTATCTGATTAAAAAAAATTAAGTCAAATAAATTGAAATAGAAAAATACCATACCCTCAGCAGCAAGGAAAACCAATATAGAGAAACAACCATCAAATCTCAAACGTATTGGCCGGATGAAAATTAAATTTAAAGCTAGGCTTAATTAGTTTGACTAATGCCAAGCCCATCCCAAAACAAGATCCTCAGAGTCTAGTTTGCCGTAGAAGCCACAACTCACTTTATCAAGGGCATCAGAAGTAATTCAACAACGCAAATCAATTGGAAATTTCTCAACTTCCTATTAAATCATACAAGTAAAACGCCTGCAACTTCTGCAATTTTTAAGCACATGTATAAAATTAAAAATGGAAGAAGCAGATAAAGATCCAATCTAAGACCACAAATTAATGTAGATAATCTTTTAATGCTCTGATAAAGGAGGTCATTTTTAAACTCAAAACTAGAGATTGCCCTTGCCAATAGCTAATTCAGAAAGAAACAAAGATAAAGTCGAACACAAAACTTTGGTACTGGAGAAACCCATGCATTACAAGTCATACACTGTAGCATTTCCTAGCATGAACTCTTAAGCCTGTCGGTTCCTCTTCTTGGCACCTGACTTGGTGACCTTGAGACTCCTGTGAACAGCACTCAACCTTGCAAGGGCTGCCTTCTTCAGATCTGGCCTGTAGTAGTTGTCTCCAACCTGTACAGAGAAGTCATTAGAGTACATTTTTACAATAATGTGACAATACAAAGTTGAGACAACAGAAGTTGCGATTTTGAAAAAGGCAGTTTGCTTAATATCAAGTAGCATATTAGACAAGACAATCAGTAATCTAATATTAAGAAAAGCATAGACACATCTTCAAGCATCTCCAAAGAAAAAAAGAGAAGTCATATGGTGAGAAGAATGGCAAATCAGGCAACATGATTCCTGAGAGATGTTACAAATAAATTACCACCACATTATTCCACATATGGATAATTAAAGTAGGTTTGGACTATAATCACTTCAATTAACCAAAATAACAATTTTAGCACTATAAAAAAGAACTAATTCTTAGCTAACAACCAACTACCACTTCAACAAAAGTTCATTCTTACCAACTGCTTGTAGTATTTCACTAGTGTAGAGGCTCACGAATAAAGGACAATGGCATGTTCTAGATAAACAATTAAAATTTTTACACTTGAGAGGGTATTTGAAATGAGCAAATATTATATTGTCATAATTAGATAGGAACAAGGCAAAATTATTCATCATCAACGCTCAGCCTTGATAACTTAATGGTCTGTTGGTCAGTGATGTGGTGGTCTGGAGAAGATGGAGCTTTTCAATAGTTGTTTCATGCGGGTCTGGGGGATGGTGTTTGCTGGAAAAAGGAATTCACCGGAAAATTATAAACACTAAAATAAATTTCTAAACACTAAATATCTGAAAATTACTCCTAAAATCTTATCCACCACCCTTTAACCTAATGAGCCAACTATTCTTTAAATAGGAAATTGGTTTTCGATTCCCTAATTAAAGAATAGCTTGTTCATTAAGCTAAGGGATGGTGGATAAGATTTTAGGGTCAACCTTAATGACTTAATCACCGGGCATCCAAACAAATATTTGTTTAAAAATTTTAAGTAGGCACCTTAGAAGATAAGCTACCCACTTTAAATTTGATTACAAACATTGCCAAGATGCAAAGTAAGCATAATTTAGTTAAAGAAAACAATTGCAGGAAATACTCCAGTAAATTAGTGAACAGAAGTGAATCAAAATTCAAACCTGGTTTGTTACAGCCTTGGCCATTCTGCTGAATTCCTTCTTCATCACAGACTTGTTCAACAACCTTGAAGGCTTGTTTTGCTTCTTGGTTTTCGATGTAGCAAGCAACACAGATTTATCTTTGCCATCAGGCTGGATAGTCACAGTTTTCTTGTTTGCTAGGCCTAAAGAATCATAAAAAAAGTATAAAATAAAATGACTTGACCGTTATCAAATCCATGCCAAATTAAAGTTTCTCAAACAACAAACCAACCCAGTAATCTACTAGACAAACCTTCTACACTTCAATACATAAGCTCACATAACATAACAACTCGAGTTTAATAGAAAAACCGTATGTATACACTTTAAAAAATATCAACATTAATATCTTACATGAAAATCGCATGTTAAACTTCATAATCGAATAGTGAAAGTCTAATCACGTAAAGCAAAATAACAATTGCATGTACTACACAAAATTAAACCAAATACACCTAATCACGATAAGTAAATAACAATACCAACTGATAATTTCAATAGATCAAAATCTGGATCTAAGGATTCTAAGAGCAAAAGAGAAATGTCAATGGCATAGAGACTAACCAGAGTGCTTGTAGGAGTGAAGGTTGTAGAGATTGTTAGGCTCTTTGCTGAAGACGACGCCAGCGGTACCATTACCGAACTCCTTCACTAAAAAGGAGTTGTTCTTCTTCACGATCTCCCATACTAGTTGCCCTGGAACTGTTGTCATTGCAAATGATTCCTAGGGTTTGCTCCGACGGCGGGAAGAGGAGGATGCTGAGAGAGTAAGGTTGCAGAATTGTGCTACATTTTCTTATATATATGGTTATTCTAAAACCCTAGGCAAGGAATGTGGCGAATTGGGCCTATTAATTTACCGAATTGCCCATCTTTTGTTCACTTTCCTCTCACATGTATACGCTTAAGAACGAAAATATTTTAGCCTCAACATTATTATTTTTTTCGACTAATTGCAATCTTTGTAAAATATTAAGTCGATCTAATTCAGTTACGAAATAGTGAAGTGAGAATATGTTTCCTCTTTTTTCTTTTTTTACGAGAAAAAATTATTCATTTTTTGCTGTTTTATGTATATACTCTTTGAATAGATATCATTAGATTGAAATTATTTTTTTTATTTGGGCTTAATTTGCAGTTGAACTTATACTCTACGGTGATTTTGTTACAAGTATGCAAAAAGCACTTTAATGATGAACTTTATGAGTAAGAGTGTTTAAGCATAAGTATGATCTTACACTTGTTTTAACTAAATTCACGAGATACATGTTCTTTTTATCAATACAACCATCGAGCAGCTTCAATCACAACATTTAGTGAAACTCTAAACGCCCAAAGCCTTTGCTCCAACTTTTTTTCTTTTTTTTTACCAAGAGTGCCAATAAAATACATTCCAACCACGATACATTTTCTTCTTTTTTTTCAGGAACCTTAAGCTAATTAGTCATCAACCTGGTTCTCAATATCAGTACTCATTTCTTATTTGTAACTGCGATGCAATCAACAATCATGCAGCTAGACAGTTACTAACATTATTCTATGCAAATAGTGACACAAGTAAATCTACTGACTCATAATCTTTGACAAGTTTCAGTTTGTCCAAACCTGATCACTTTTGCTGTAACATACACCAAAGATATCCCTTCTAAACGCAGATTCAGACTGACATAACAAGACCATCCTTGAGATGAGAATATGAAAATTCATCACCTCGGATCTCATATGCTGAAAGCTCCGGGCATTTCATTTTCAAATCAAGCCTTTCAGTTGTCAACATCTCAAAATACAGAAAAAGGGAAGGGGAAAATTGTAAAATGCACCGACTAGTCGGTGCAACCCGTACCATAAATATATGAAAACTTCAAGTTATCAACAATCAAAGTTGAAGAATTGAACCAATCCTAATATCAGAATACCATCTTTACACCTCGGCTAATGTTACATTATATACACCAACAAAGCAGCCGATCAGCAAAGTTCCTCAACGCCAGTGATCACACCCTGTTATTGTACAGAAATGATTCAACTCCGGAATCCAGACTGGGCTGCTACAAATCAGAATTCCTAAACAAATTCTCTCATAGTTCACTAACTCTGATCATTCTGATCAATGGAACATTATTCAACCAATGCTTGGTACAAGAGAACGGTGGGCAGGTCGTATTGAGTTATTTAATGCTTCACTTATCCTACTGAACACTATTTTCAAGGGGACACAAGCTACCGCAGGTCCTTTAAGCTTCTCTACTACAGGTTTCTTCTCTCTATTTTGCTGGTGAGAACCGGTTAAAGAAGACAATTTTCTAATCTTCTTTGAAAGAAGGCCATTTTTCCGTGTCTTGGGCGACTTTGCTGGTGAACTGCGAGGTTTCAACATACGATGCTTAGTCGAAATCCTACCCGCAGAACTCGGCTTGGATTCATAAACAATATTTGCACTATGCAAAACTGAGCTGTTCTCACCATGATCCTCATCTAAGTCATAGCTGCTACTATAGTGCTCAGATCCACTGAGTAGCAGATTATCACAAAAGCCATCATCCAAAACTTCAACTGTGAGGGGGTGACCTATGATAGGCTGACCATTCAATTTGCTCATTAGGGAGATATATGGAACATGCTGTGGACGATAGCTCGCTTTGACCTCAAGATTAACATCATACAGTGAGGAATCAGCAGTGTGGTGCCTAAGAGAGAAATCTGATGACTCATATTTGGGGTTAACTGTAAATCGAGACTGACGATACGGTAGCAACCTCTGTGGAGTAAGCAGGTCTGCAGTTGGCCCCTTCATTTGAGCTTCTCTAAGAGAAACATTCCTGCTCCAACCTCGCAACTCATCCACTTGAATTTCCGTAACTGGTCTTGACTTCAAAGGATAGTTGTCTACTTTCCGACCTGGAGAAAGAGGGAATGAATCATGATCTATAGCAACCAAATATACATTTAGTGCATCTTTCAAATCTCTGCATTGTCCAGAATCTTTCTTTTTAATCTTACATGTGTGCCTCGAATTCCTCTTTCCTTTCAACTGCCATTTTGATGTTCCTTTCACCATCCTCTGTTGGCTGAAACAATGAAAATCTTCACTACCAGAACTAGTGGAGCCTGAGTCATTAAGCTCCTCACTCCCAAACGACATAGCTTCAACTTGGCTGCCCTGGCTAGACTGTGCCCCTACAGCACCTTGAGCTTTCTGAGATGTGCAAGATACTATAGGAGACAAGCCTGTTTGGAGAAATAAAAATATCAGCATAAATCAGCCAAAAGAACTGCAACCATGTGAAATTCAGAAATATAAAATCAGAAGAGGAACGATAAACAGGAAAAGAGAAGCTTTTTTAATAAAATTGCTTCAGAAATCATTGGCAAAAGAACTATTCGAAACTCATAACATAGATAAGAAAAGAAATTGAAGACAACCCATGTAGAAAGGTAAGTACAATGACAAGTTGACACACTGAAAACGTTCTACACAAACTTTTTTTTTTTGAACAGTTCCACAGAAAATAAGTTCTTTATTGAAACAATCAAAGTTGAGAAGTTTTTCTAGAGAGAAAGCTCAGAAGTTCAAGATGGGCAGAATGCAGATGGCTGGCATATAAGGTTAGTGCATAAAAATGACAGTGTCATCCGTGTGGAACCCATAAGATTAAAATTGGTGCCTCTACTAATTAATCTGCCAAACTCAGCCACAAACCCCAACATCGAGTAGAGAAGAAAATTGAATTATAAAGAGTCACCTACTCTAGTCTCTAATTAATACTTAATGTAAAACCAATTGCAAAGTTAAAGAGGAAAGATTCACCAAAACTACCACTTCAAATTAATTAAACTAAGTTGTGACTAATGCCTAAGACCAATATGTGAGGGCTTCCATAAGACATAGAACACATTAGTTTAGGTCCTCCATAACTGAAGAGAAAAGGAAATCATGTTGCATGTATGCTCTTCTACACCATATCATGCAGAGGTTATCCACTTCCAAGGGAAAATCTATGAGGGATCTTCGACTAACAGATCAAAAAAAAGGCCTCTAAGGCTAGCTTTTGTTACCATTTTCAGTGCCTGCACTAGTGGCACGTGTGCAACAAGAACTACAAAGACAACATTAATTGTGATTGCTCCAGATCCTTGGGTCTTCTTACAGTGCAGTATAGTCAGCAAAAAGCGCAGAGAAGTTCCGACACTGATGGGGGGAATTTAAGTGTGGGGCTTTGAGCTTAAATGGAGAAAGGTACTAGTGAAGAATATGTGTGTGGGGTAATAATGCAACGAAAAATAACTACAAACATAAACAATAATATTTGGATAAAAGATCAGAAACAATTATAACTAGCAAATAAGATGATGTTAAAAACAAGATGTTCAAGTTAAAAAATTATTTGAAATGTATAGTTTTGTGTTTCTTAAGAAAGTTTTCTTATACTAAACTCATTATTCTTTATTCCTAATCACTAAAATTTAAGCATAATGTTTTTTAACAATTGATGTAATCAGTTGTCAAATATATTTATACTTAGTACTGTTCACTTAAAGATAGACCCGTTGGTGATGAGGTGCACGCCTTAAATACTTAGCACCACCTAAGTGAGGTCAAACACACAACCTGGCTTTAATGAGTACTTAAACGCACCTTAAATTAGTTTTAATAACACTGCTACTACTATGTAGATTATAAACCATGAATGCAAAGAAATCTCTGTTAATGCACATAAATACCTGCAGACTGCTTCTCTTCTGCAACTAACGGCACATCAAACAACCTGTCAGAAGAACCATTCTCAGGCAACCCCAAAATACTGGAAATTCCATTCTCTTTCTGTTCGTGCTTAACAAGGGAAGAATCATTAGTGTGGCCAAATACGTCCAATGGCTTCCCATTCTCTGAGATAACATCCGTGTCATTCAGTACTGTAGGAAAACTTTTCCCAGATTCGTTAGATTGTAACGCAAAAACTTTGCTTTCAGA